ACGACGTAACAACCCAGAAGACAAGACATCTTCAGACTCACAGCCGTGAGAACCTACAATCTCACAGAGAAAGGAATTTCAAATATCAACTTTAAATTTCAATAGCAAAACTTATAAATCCTGATTATAACGCTGTGCAAGAAAGCTTCGCTCCAAAAAGATATTTAATATTTAAATTTTCTCGTAAAATAATGGTATTTTCCCTTAATGGAGATCAGAGGCGCTATGTTGAGAGGCTGAAACGAGGTGTTAATATTCCCCTTTAGCAGAATCATATTGTTCTTCGCCACAGATCAACAGGCAGGGTTACTGAATAACACAACAGCGTTTATAAAACCCTAAACCCTACTACGCATGCGTGACAATGCACACGGGGTCTAAGTATGAAGATAAATACATTTGTAAATAAGATGATTAATTATTGCAGACTGATTTTGAAAACAAGACTTTTGAGATAACTTTCTTTTTAATTAGACACATCATAACCATAATTAGTATAATATAAAAACTTGATTGACTTTATCTGAAGCCAGCCAAATGGATGAAGCCCCTAACCTAAAACCTAGATCATGATCTAGTGTTGTTTGATCAGGGATATGACACTTTATGAGAAGGTGGGTAGATGATAACGGAGCAGTGGTCGAATTGCACAGATAAACGAAAAATTCGACGAAAAACCTAACCTATACAACGTCACTTCGTCCACAGAGAATCTGACTGGATTTTACCCGGAATTAAACCCGGATCTTTGTGACGATAAGCCAACGTATAGTCAACAGAGCTACAGCAAAACGAATTATAATTAATTACAGTATAAAATCCAATTATTTTATTTTCACGAAAAGCACAGCTAGTAATTAACGATAAGTATAAGAAATACAGAGGATTTGTAGTTTATCATATTCTGAGGTCACGTAGCGTAGAGTGACAGTCACTACGACCGCGAAGTAGCTAGAAAAATTTATGAAAATATTATCAGAAATGCTGAGATTTGAAATACATAACAACTGAGGCATACATGAAGGTAACATTCGTATGGGATTCGTGGAAGATGACGGACGTTTCAGAGGTGTGTCTTGCCTTATCGTGAAGGCAGTACGCACCTATGAAACGTCGGTCTCTCCTCCCGGCTGTAAAATACAAAGTACGTACTTAAAAATGTTTTTCTTGATACTAGACACCGTTAAATCTACATCGATATATAAAGTATCAAATAGATATAATAGCCATCTAATGCATAATTTTTTCAAAACGCAGAGTAATTAAAATTAAAATCAGAGTACAAGACATGGAATGTTTCGGTAATTTCAATTTGTCATATCCAGGGGTTACACGTAAGTAATTTGCCCAGGAATTTTAGAATTTTGTAATGTAGGCCTAATTTTGATCTCGATGAAATTGAATTTTACGAAAACCCGGAATCAACGAACATGGCGTATTTAATATTTCTGAATGCACCTTGCAGAGAACGAATGAGGGTGTTATGCATTCTGGCACGGAATAAATTTTCCGAGATTGTTTTATCTTGTCCCGGAAGTCACGAGTTGCCATAGCAGCTGACTCGATCTAATGCCATTATCAAATAATAAAAAAATTATGTGATTAATATTTTATTTTATTTAGTGTTCTGTCTGAGGACAGGTCCATATGAACAGGATCCTTCCATCCTTTTCTCGGACTGGGACCTGTTCATATACGTTCTTGGCAGATGATCCAGAAGTGGTTTGCCATTGCCTTCTTCTGTGTGTGAATGGAGTAATTGTTGGGATGCCACGGAGGAAAACTCCGTGTTGCCTAGACCACGGCCTTGCCCAACACAAGTTATAAATTCGGGCACCGCCGGGAATCGAACCCGAGACCCCCCCGAGGATTACAAGGCCAGCGTTCTAACCTCTAGACCACCGTGGTGGTCGTGATTAATATATAAAACATAAATTGTCGATCAACCGCGCGATCTTAAAATTTTACACTGAGTGTTATTATTAATTGTGGGTTGAGACGTCGTGTGGACGCGTGCGTAGATTACAACGTACCAGAAGCACATGCTGTTTCCATCTTCAGGACGTCAACCCAGAAGAACAACTTTTACTTTGGTCTGGCATCTTCGTTCTGATGTGCCGACAAACCCGATGCTGACTTGTCAACTAGATTTTTCCTTTAAGCTTTTGTGGACTCGAGTGGGGAGGCTTTCAGGATCAAATCCTGTTACGCACAACCCAATTTTCCGTGTGTGAATAAGTAGGAGGTGTTCAGCGTTGAGTCACAGAATTTGCAAGTTTCAGTACGTGATGATGTGTATTACTCCAGTAGGCCTAGTGAACACCCGTGGAAAAGTAGAGCCAATTAATAATTTAGAACTAACCATACGTCTTCAGGACGAATTTACAGTATAAAATTCGTAGTGCTGAGGTTTTAACGGCGGTGAGTCCGAAGATGGCTGTCTTCTGGGTTGTAGCGCCCTGTAGTCTGGTAGAAGTTTACCGACGTTTCGGAGGTCCTTCCTGCCTCCATAATCAGGGCGATAATCTCTAACTCAAACCGATTCTACGCGCCCGGCTTACTCATCGCCCTGATGATGGAAGCAGGAAGTACCTCTGAAACGTCGGTAAACTTCTACCAGACTACACGGCGCTACAACCCAGAAGATTGTCGTCATCTAATTCCATCTCTTACCCTATCGTTGAGTGAGTAACGCGTGTTCGTACCTGGGATCCTCCTCGGTGTCAGGTCCGTCGTTGTGGGTCCGGGTGTGGTTGAAGGCGGTGCAGATACTGGCACAGAGAAAGAAATACAACAAAAAGATAGGCAAAGTGTAAAGTAGTAAGTGTTAGTGTAGGAGAAAGGAACACACAAAGCTCTCACACAAAGCAGAATCGACCAGTCAAACATGTCGATCACAAGAGACACTTTAGTTATCAGCATGATTTGAACATTACTTTCGCTGTACTTAAAAATTGGATTAGCTTACATTTTTTTTAAAGACCTTGCAACATTGAAACACCCGGGCGTCTGAAACCCTTTTTTTGGTGATTTAGAAATATTTTTGTGTTAACTTCTGCTATAAAAAAAAATATATATAAAAATTTGAAAAGTATTATAAAATGAAAAAAGATGGGACAAATTCTAAAAATTCGTGTAGCTTAATTTAGAAGTCTCACGTACTCCGTTACTAAAATTAAAGGTGTCGATATTATAAATATTTAAATGTTAAGTCTTGCCACAAGATTGTTCCAATGGCTGGTGAATGAGAAGGTCAACTAAGACAACCAGCTTAGCTGTTTAACTGAACGACATCTATAAATCTTAATAGAAGGATTAAAGTAAGGTTTTACAAAGGCAAGTCTGCTATCCACCGTCATGTTCTACCATATTTTTTGAACTAAAACATAATAAAAGTGAATTACTCTTTCATGAACCTACTCAAAAAACGATAAGAGTACTTTATACGTACATCACAAAACGATTAAGTATACTTAATAAAACATAAGGTAGTATATTTGCGTCGTAAGAGACGTTCCAATTTGTAAATCGATCATTCAATGCGGAACGTGAAATGATATTTTAAATATTTTATTATCTTATTAAAATTGTGATTTGACGGAAAATATTACAATATTAACTTAATGAAACCTCAACATTGTTTAAAAGACGTATGTAAATTTTTTTTTGTACATTTAAAACGAACAGAGATAAATGTGTGATAAGCTGACGTAAAATAGTTGAACGTAATCTCAAATTTATAAACAAAATTGACAGCAATGAAAAGAGTAGATTTTAAATATCTGATTATTATTCCGTAATTATTTACAGAAAATGATACGAATTAACAAAACAGTCTGTAACTTAAAATGGTTAACAGTGACTCAGCTACTATGGGACACGAAGTTCACTTAAGTCCGTTCTGAAACCAACTAAGCCAGTTGCATCTGCATTCGTTTTATACACGTTGAAGAAAATGTACAAGATGTAGATTATGTAATTTCCTGGCAAAAGTAGGAATGCATATTATTTAATATTTTTAAGTTGAAAGTTTTACTTATCAGGTACAACACTGCGCGTCATTTAATTTTGCAAGTAGCTGAAACTTCTCCCCTTTTATAATTTATAATACTAAAAAATTACTGTTTCTTTGGTTTGGATGGATCGTAGTAAAATGCTTAAACAAATGAAAATTTCACAGGTACGCAGGAATTTTTGAATTAGGTGTGCAGATTCCAGGTTTATTTAAATAAATCACAATATGACGCACCTACAATATCTTTTATTGTTATTATTTTAGTAACTGTAAAATTGTTTTCTTAGACTTTGTTTAACGTACACTGCAAAAAAAAACCCCGTGGAATTTGTAAAGCTGAATCTTGTTTCTGTCTTCAGGCTAAAACTGAATATTTGTATCTTATATGCGTCATGTTTGTGTTTGATTAAATATATTTATTTTGTAAAGTCTATACACAAACGTTTGAAGTTTATTGGTGTTGTAAAAATTATATAATATTAAAACATTTTATTAAAATGTTTTAATAAATATATAATATTAAAACATTTTAATAAAATGTTTTAATAAATATATAATATTAAAACATTTTAATAAAATGTTTTAATAAATATATAATATTAAAACATTTTATTAAAATGTTTTAATATTATATAATTTTTACAACACCAATAAACTTCAAACGTTTGTGTATAGACTATACAAAATAAATATATTTAAAACTGAATAGCTAGCCTCAAAAATTATTATTACTAAGAAGACCTTGAGGCAAACGCAATTCATATTAACTCAAACCTTTATTAAAAATCGTAAAATAATTGTTCCCAGTAACATTAAATAAATATCACAAAACAGCCATTGGTTATTGTATTTATTTTTGTTTAAATGACGTGTGTGTGTGGAGGGGATAATGTTACAATGTTATTATGATAAATTTAAATTCTCTGGGGCGCTTTCTACCGACTGTCAGTGGTATTTTAACATCCGGTTATGGTCAAAAACCGTGATCTGGTGTAGATGTAAGCATAAAACTTTGTGCGGAAGCAAAATATAAAAGATAGTGCTCCAATTAAATAAATATTAAAAATATCTATTTTTTTTAAAATATAGCAACCTTCTATTATCAAAGACAACACAATTTAACACAGACGCTAATAACAAAGGAAAGTAATAATTTTTAATAACCGACGTTTCTATAGCCTACAAAAAGAAAAAAATATTTCAAAGAAACAGAAAATATGGAAATTAAATTAACTACTGAATGAAATGCAGCTCAGTTTGAATATAAAGTTGAAAACAAGTTCTAATGCCAGTAATTATTATTTCGAATTAAAGCTTTTTTTTCTCGATAATTTCGTACGTGGGACAACAAAAGACATCCCTTATACGGAAGTGTCTTGAGAAAGATCTTAACGTAGCATCGCTCAACGAATTTTTTTTTAAAAAAAATACAGACTCCACTGAGCGGATACCAACGCAGACAGATACGCTGTAATACGGAATAACAATAATATAATAATATCAAAACCTGTGTACAAAGAAAAATAAATACTACTTATTCTATTTTTATACTTTATTTAAGTGCGTCGGATGACAGTGAATAATGAATTATAAAAGATGTCAAAAGGAAGTGGTCGTGACCTATTTAAGGACCCATCCCGGCAGGGGCGACACTGTGACACGCTTAACATGGTTTCTGCATAAACAGACGGAAAGACACGCGAGCAGAAACAAGGTTCTTTGATCCTATGTTTGTGGCCAGGTGTAAGAATTGCGAAGAAAGTTAGAGGAAAATTTTTCTGGTGGGTTGAAAAAAGCAGACGAAAGATTTCGACTCGAACACGTGTTGAGGTTAAGGAGAAATTTGGTGATGGTGTCCGCAACAACAGAACAATTAGCCTTGAGGCCCGATCACCGAATCTATTTTATTATGATTAATTAGACAAAATCGTGGGCTTCAACACCAAATTACTTGAAAATTAGACGATTAATAGAGTAAATAAATCACGTCTCTTCATTGTGTGATTGCTCTGTTAAAATACATATTATGAAACCGCCTTCAATTTACGTACTTTCGTAGTTTAAGAGAATGTAAACAATTTATTAACATGAAGATGGTTTTCTTCTGAGTTGTCGCGCCGCGTAATCTGTTAGTTTACCAACGTTTCAGAGGTCTTTACTGCTTCCATCATCAGGGCCATAATTCATCGACCAGACTACACAGCGCTACAACCCAGAAGGTAGCCATCTTCGGACTCACAGCTGTGAATACCTCAAATCCTCTTTACTGACGTACAATACTCATGGAATAAACGTCAAAACGTCCATGAAAAAGCTTGAAAAGTTTAACTCAGTCCCATATGGGCTAAAAATTGAAGTCTGATTTGAAGTTTATTTTAATTTATTACACAAATCGAAAATTAAATAATAAACAAAGCTGCCGAGAGGAGTCAAGGGAGGAGGAGCCACTAGCAGTATTAGAATGCACACAGAAACACACATGCAGTAAAATAGATTTGTTTTGCTTGCAAACCTGTGACGAGGAGTTCATTTTATTGGCACAGTGGTGTGACGTGCTGACGTTCGTTAGAAAACCTTTTAATAAAAAGTGTTCTGTTGGTCGGAGTTTGTTAAACGTACCTCGCATCTAGAATGTTCAGACGATGTTTGCTAGAAAAATACATTTGTATCGTAGTGTTTATTGTGGATGATAACACACGAAGCGTTCATCAAAACACACACAGAAGTGTTAGGGAATTCGTTTCGTCTTAATAAATTCTTGAAACCACGTTCATTTAAAATTTATGCCAGCAAAATATCTGATTACTCATCTTAAATTTATAATTATTTTTTCTGGAGAGTTTAATTTACATTATTTGTACAAGAAGTATAGCAAATCACAATTATATTTGATATCAAAAAAAACACTTTGAGTGTTACGGTTTTAGTAAAGTATAATTAACGTAAGGATTTTCTTATGTCTGTCATAAATCTAAAACCATTTGACTGATTTTGATCAGATGTTACACGGGAGGTCCTTGAACCTCGGTCCCGCCCGCCATCTGTAGGACAGGATCAGAATTTGGCGTTTAGAAATTTAAATTCATACAAGACGTTCCAAAATTGTTACGATACGAGTACAATTCCTTACATTTTATAAATTTACTACAGATTAAAACATTATATCGAGAAAAACTCCTAAAATAAAAGACGTACAAATTTACAGAGAACATCCTATTTACGTCCATACTTGAAAATGTTGGTGCTAAAAATTTCTGGTGAAATTGACCGCATTTTCATTTTACCTTATGCTGGGCGTTCACTAGACTCTGTGTACCTTTCATTTCTTCTATTTGTTTAGGCTGGCTGTCTGGCAGGTTGCCTAATCTCTCGGTTCGTTAGCTCCAAGCATAACGACACAGTTGTGCCAACCTAACCTTTCCAGTTGGTCCAGAAACAACGTGGCACCGCGGCGTATCTGTGCCTCTAAACACATCTCATCGTTGAATGAACGTACACAAGTTGAAAATAAATAAATAAATGTTATAAGAGAGACGGCAATGATATTCAATAAAGCTTGGGACATTGTAATCCTTTATCATAACAGTTTCAACACAGTAGGATTTAAGGTAAACACGGCTGTGAGTCCGAAGATGGCTGTAGCCCCTGTAACCTGATAGAAGTTTACCGACGTTTCAGAGGTCCCTGCTGCCTCCATCATCAGGGCGTTACTTAAGAACGACATGTCAGCGTTAAAATCAAAGTATTTATTTATTATTATTTAGTGTTCTGTGTGACGACAGGTCCATATGAACAGGATCCTTCCATCCTTTTCTCGGACTGGGACCTGTTCATATACGTTCTTGGCAGATGATCCAGAAGTGGTTTGCCCTTGCCTTCTTCTGTGTGTGAATGGAGTAATTGTTGGGATGCCACGGAGGAAAACTCCGTGTTGCCTAGACCA